AGCAGAAGGTTTTATAGTGAAAAGTGTGTGCTGAGGTATGACTTCCTGCCCAGACTGGCATGCATTGGTGCTTTTGCTGTCTCTAAACTCAGAAATCACAGTGAGATGAACATACTTCTAAAACTTGAGCTCAGGAGAGGAGGAGAATGCAGGAACTACAGTTCTTGCATTTGGAGAAGAAATGGTGTATGTTCTTACAGTGGCTATTTCAACATCCTGTTAGATCCATATCTGAAGGGAAGGAAAAGTCCATCCCAAATGCTGAAGAACCAAATACTATGGTCTACAACATGAGTGACCATGGTCAGTGATACTGGAATATACTAGAGCAGGAACTGTCATTTGAGAACAAATAATGCAAAATCTGTGAGGTAAGATCCCAGCAAGATCATGGAGCAGATCCTCCTGGCAACTATGCTAAGGCACATGGAAAAAAAAAGAGGTGATTGATGAGAACCAATATGGCTTCACAAAGGGCAAATTATACCTGACAAATCTGGTGGCCTTCTGTGATGGGGTTACAGTGTTGGTGGATAAGAGAAGAGCAACTGACATCATCTACCTGGACTTGTGCATAGCATTTGACACTGTCCCGCCCGACATCCTTGTCTCTAAACTGGAGAGACATGGATTTGATGGATGGACCACTTGATGGATAAGGAATTGACTGGATGGTCACATTCAAAGAGCTGCAGTCAACAGCTCGATGTCCAAGTGGAGACCAGTGACCAGTGGCGTTCCTCAGAGGTCGGTATTGGGGCGGGTGCTGTTTAACATTTTTGTTGGCGACATAGACAGTGGGATCGAGTGCACCCTCAGCAAGTTTGTTGATGACACCAAGCTGTGTGGTGTGGTCAACACCCTGGAGGGAAAGGATGCCATCTGGAGAGACCTTGAGAGCTGGGCCTGTGAGAACCTCATGAAGTTCAACAGGGCCAAGTGCAAGATCCTGTACATGGGTCAGGGCAATCCCAAGCACAGCTGGGTGGAGAATGGATTGAGAGCAGCCCTGAGGAAAAGGACTTGGGTGTTGGTTGATAAGAAGCTCAATGTGAGCCAGCAATGTGCACTTGCAGCCCAGAAAGCCAACTGTATCCTGGGCTGCATCCAAAGAAGGGTGGCCAGCAGGTCGAGGGAGGTGGTTCTGCCACTCTACTCTGCTCTCATGACACCCTAATGTACTGTGTTCAGCTCTGGGGCCCCCAGCATGAGAAGGACATGGAGCTGCTGGAGCAGGTCCAGAGGAGGGCCACAAAGATGATCCGAGGGCTGGAGCACTTCTCCTACGAAGACAGGCTGATTCAGCCTGGAGATCGAGTGCACCCTCAGCAAGTTTGCAGATGACACCAAGTTGTATGGTGTTGTTGACATGCTGTAGGAAAGGGATGCCCCCCAGAGGGACCTTGACAGGCTGGAGAGATGGGCCTGTGTGAACCTCATGAAGTTCAACAAGGCCAAGTGCAAGGTCCTGCACGTGGGTCGGGACAATCCCAAGCACAAGTACAGGCTGGGCGGAGAATGGATCGAGAGCAGCCCGGAGGAAAAGGACTTGGGAGTGCTGGTGGATGAGAAGCTCAACATGAGCCGGCAATGTGCGCTGGCAGCCCAGAAAGCCAACCGTATCCTGGGCTGCATCAAAACAAATGTGGCCAGCAGGTTGAGGGAAGTGATTCTGCCCCTCTACTCTGCTCTCGTGATACCCCACCTAGAATACTGTGTTCAGCTCTGGAGTCCCCAACACAAGAAGGACATGGAGCTACTGGAACGAGTCCAGAGGAGGGCCACAAAGGTCATTTGAGGGCTGGAGCACCTCTGCTATGAAGACAGGCTGCGAGAGTTGGGGCTGTTCAGCCTGGAGAAGAGAAGGCTGTGGGGTGCATCTTATTGCAGCCTTAGAAGGCTGTGGGGTGCATCTTATTGCAGCCTTCCAGTACTTAGAGGGGGCCTACAGGAAAGCTGGAGAAGGACTTTTTACAAGGGCGTGTAGTGATAGGACAAGGGGCAATGGCTTTAAACTGAAAGAGGGCAGATTTCAATTAGATACAAGGAAGAAATTTTTCACTCAGAGGGTGGTGAGGCACTGGAACAGGTTGCCCAGAGAAGTTGTGGCTGCCCCATCCCTGGAAGTGTTCAAGGCCAGGTTAGATGAGGCTTTGGGCAACCTGGTGTAGTGGAGGATTTCTCTGCCCATGGCAGGGGGGTTGGAACTAGATGATCTTTAAGGTCCCTTCCAACACTAACCATTCTATGATTCTATGATTCTATGATAAGAGGAGGCTCTGGGGACACCTTCTAGCAGGCTTCCAGTACCTAAAGGGGCCTACAAGAAGGCTGGAAGTGTTACAAGTTTGTGTGGTGATAGGACAAGGGGCAATGGCTTTAAACTGAAAGAGGGGAGATTTAAATTAGGCATAAGGAAGAAATTCTTCACTCTATGGAAGAAATTCTTCACTCTGAGGGTGGAGGTACTGGAACAGGTTGACCAGAGGAGTGTGGATGCCCCATCCCTGGAAGTGTTCAAAGCCAGGTTAGATGAGGCTTTGGGCAACCTGGTGTCTGTGATCTACAGTGGGGAGTTTTGATACTGTTTTTGATGTGCCAAAGCTGAGTTAAAACAATGGCCCTTGAGGCGTGGAGGAGAGAGAAACCTCTCTCAGTCTCTGCTGCTTCTTTAGAAGTTACGGGACTTAGACCTCACCAGGAGAGAACTGCATCGTCCTCACCGTGGTCTGCATGAGGAGATGCGTATCAGGGCAGTCCCTGCGTAAGTACGAGCCTTGGCAGTGCGGAGTTTCAGGAACAACATGTAGGATAAGGGCTCTAGTTCCCAGCAGAAGAGCTTGCTAACTACTGTGGATGAAGACATTGAAGCTGGTAAACTAAAAGCAGAAGGTGGCATACTCACTTGCTTACCATGGCAATTTCTCTGTGTTGGCAAAACCCCACAGTGCCATCTCTTTGTTGCAGGGCCATCTGGCAGCTGCCTTGACCACAGCTATACCTTGAGCTCCATTGCGATGTTCTCAGTTTCTCTGTTAGAGCATCACATGGTAAACAACCCCTGCCTAAATGGAAGCAGAAACATACTTTTTCTCTCCAGACGTAAAACCCGCTTCCTATTTTGAAGAAGAAACTCAGGCTTGGACAGGCTGCAACTTGCCACCTTCTGTGCTCTCACACACATATGCTAGAACTGGAGCTCTTGTTTAGGATAGAAATACAGGGCAGCCCAAATGCTTAGTTTTCAGCAAGGAATGGTTTTACTAGGTCTAATGGAAACATGCCAGAGTGCTTGATCTCAGCATGCCTAGATGCGCACAGCCATGGAACACAAAGTGCTGTGCTCTGGCTTGTGGGATCATTCTCCTAATGATGTCATGCATGCATGAGTGTCTTGTGTGGAGGAGCAGGAAGGGTGAAAATGTACCTGAAACGGGCTTATAAAATGTATCATAACTTTAATTATGCTATTTCCTGGTACAGTGTTTCATCACCACCACCTCCATCTGGAAGGCAGTGAGGAACTGAGAATTGCTGTTGCTGGAAATACACAGCTGTATTTTGTTTAGCAGCAGTTTAGCATCCCATAATCAAACTAATGCTCATGCTTTAGTGATGCTTGTAACGTTTAAACAGTTACATTAGCGTTTAAATTTAAATTCCCATCCCAATCTGTTGGAGTTGGAAAAACTCCAGTTCTGGAAAAGCAAAGGTGGGTGAAATTCGTTCCCAAGACAAGATGGTAACATCATTCCACTATAATATATTATTTCAAGGAAGTTTTAAAAAGCTCATTGTATTAGAAGTCTGCTGTGAGCCTCCCAGTGACCTGGAGTAGCCACCTTGTTGTCTCACAAGAGTACAATTTCCTTCATCACCCAGCATCTTCATCCTCCTGATTGTAAAAGCTGACTAAACACCAAATCCACACCCTGCCAGACCTTTGACTGATCACACATGGGTGTGTCTGAGCGCAGCATGGCGTTGTGAGCTTCGTGTTGCATGCAGGAGATCTGGCATGTCATCTTCTTTCAGAGAAGAGGAAAGAGCTGATGCTAGGAGTCCTTGCTAGGACACTGATAATGCAGTCAAAACTTCTCTTCCATCCGTATTATTGAAACTTGTTCTCAGGTTAGGGCAGTCTTTTTGAAAAGTACCAGAGAGAGCATCTTTGCAAAGAATCTACGGAAACATCCTTAAATTTGGGGTAGTACCTTCATATCTTTCTCATGGGCATGATCTCTGGACCTGATTTGAGGATCGAAGCAGGCCTTGTCATTCCCAGAAGAAACTAGAAGCAGACAGCAACCTTATGAAACCAGTGCCTAAAACAAGGTTTATGGAAATATTTTCAGGTTTGGCACTAGAAGTTTAAAATGGATAATTAAAGTACTTCTTGTGTTTCCTTGTTATGTGTTCTGATATATTGAATAATGCAACTTTCTAGGCTCTTTCGTAACTATAGAATGTGTGTAGGACAGCATGGAATAATATCTCTCTTGGCTGACACATAGCAAAGTTGCTCTTACAAGGCCACATCCAGGGGTTACGAGAAATACCAGGCTGAGTTTAAGAGGCTCTTAGTTGCAGAGAGGAGATGGCAGCCTCAGTTTTGTTTATGCTAACGTAGAAAGGTAGCTGGTGGTTTACATCAAGTAAGTAAGTGCATCAGGATCCAACATGTTCAACCCTGGGACAGAAAATGTACTGACCTCTGCTTCTGCCAGCTCCCAGCAGCAGGACCAGAGGATTGGGGATGAGATAATGAAGGGGAGCTCTGGGCCAAGATAATGATGATATCAGTGGTAAAATAGTCCTAGCATGAGTAACTACAGACACTGGGGGTTTGAATTTTTATTATCGGCCTTAACATCTTAATTTCAATGAGGGACTAAGATAGTGAGCCCCTTCACAACTCAATTAGACAGTCTGAGGGGATGCTGAATTTCTGTTCTGGTGGAGGTGATCATGCTTACCCATCTTTGCTTTCTAACCTGCAGCTGTGGCTGACGTTTGCTCCTGTGGCTGATAAGACAGCTGCCTACTTCCACATTTCACTGGAGATGGTCAACTGGCTCTCAATAGTGTACCTCCTCATCTCGATCCCATTTGGTCTGGTGGCGACATGGATTCTCGACAGCGTGGGGCTCAGATGTGCTGTGAGTTGAACTGTTCTGTTTCCCTGAGGGCGTTTCACCTAGAGGTAGCAGTAGCTGCACAAAGCACTAAGATGCATTCTGTGAATGGAAGTCTTGCCAAATGCTGCAGAGGATGAGCATGTTGAAAACTCTGTTCTGGTTCAGTAATAGCTGTCACATCACCTCTGAGGTGGAGAGCAGTGGGAATAGTCAGAATAATGTTGCATCCCTACTTGCCCTTTTCTGCTTCAGATTTTATTGTCTTAGCCAACTGACAGGGACAGATGCTGTGAGCTGATTCTGAAGAGCTTGCTTTAACTGGGTAGGGTTTGCTGTGGCAAAGCATTAGCACGGCTATTTTGTTTGCAGGGCCAGTTTAAGGAGCAGCAGGGCAGGGTGCAAGCGAGGGGCCGATCAGCTCAGAGCTTAGTCTACACTAAGCCAGCTTGGGATCCCTACACAGGCTTCCCAGAAGCAAGAGTGTTGTGGAATGTGACACTGGTGGTATGGAAGAGCATTTTCAGGATCTGTATGCTGGATGACTCATTGCCATGATCTTTGCATTGTCGCAGCAAAATATGGGTGATGGCGCAAACTCGCAAACAGAGCGTAATTAGTGAACTTTGGATTTCTCATCATTTCCATGTCAGTGGCTGCTATCTTGCGTAAGTGACATTGTGGTGTAGTTCCCCTGTGAGGCCAGGACAGCTGCCTTGCTCCCTAAGGAGACAGGTAACTCAGTGTTGGATCAGGAGTATCCTGCAGTGGCCCAAAGGGGTGGGGTGGTCTGCAGGCAACTTTCCTTACAGTTTTACCATCACTCAGTGTCTCCTGTAAGGGGTCTGGAGACCCTGCTCATGCTGCTCTGTTGCATTAAGTTCTGCCCTTCAGCACATAACTCCTGTCTGTTTCTGCTTGCTGCAGGTGATCCTGAGCGCATGGCTGAACATGACGGGTAGCATCATCCGGATGTTCAGCGTCTTGAAGTTCCTGAGCTTGGGTTCCCAGAGTTACTGGTACCTGTTTATTGGGCAATGCCTTTGTGCACTGGCACAGCCCCTTATCATCTTTTCACCGACAAAACTGGCAGCACTATGGTTCCCAGACCACCAGAGAGCAACAGCAAACATGATTGCATCAATGTGTAAGTGATAGCTGCAAAGTTATATTGCTGCCTCCCAGAACTTGCTAGCATTCGTTTGCCTTCAGAGGCAGCAAGCGGAGGAAGCCCTCTGTACTGCAGCCATTTGGCCCTGCAAATACAGCTCTACCCAAGAGTCTCATAGCCATGTGCACTAAACCAGTGCCTTCAAGGCCTCGCTAGACAGGCAGGTGTTTCCCTGTTGGGGAGCAAGAAGTGGGCATTAGCCACCTCCAGGTGCAAAGTTCCAAATAGTCCACCCAGTCTCCCAGCCTTATTCCTCTCTGCCATGACAAGGGGATCATTTTTTGCCTGAACACTACAGAGGCTGCGGACAGCCCTCAGTGTTACTAAATCTAAAGTCTGTAATGGCTTTAATTCTGCAGCTTGTTAGGAAGGTGTCCAAATTGCATGTGATGGCAGTGGTCACAGTTGCCAAATTCTGTAACTGCATAGAGGTGAGGCTGATGTAGCAATTTCATCCATCAGTTTGTCATGTAGCAAGGCTGAGCATGTATTCCCAATTGATATATATGCATGCACAGATAAAATATACTCAGCTGGCCACACGAACATGTTGGGCATGCTAAATGTAGCAGGACTACCCACGCAGAAACCACATCTGCCTTGCAAATTGCCTGCATGCTGGGAAACTGGAAGGGAGGCACCAGACAGCTTGCTCTAAACTCATTCTTCTCATAGCTTCTTTGAGCCCTGCTAGAGGCAGGACGCTGCACTAGATGGACCTGTTTCCTCCCTCCATGTGACAGTCTCCCCAGCAGCCAGAAGAAATCTCTAGCTCCTTTCTCCAAGGACTTGAGAAGTCCTTGGAGAAGTTCCAGCTCCAGCTGGGAAGTCTCACAGTACCTACATGTGTGGGGGAGCCTCACTTGTCCTTCCGTCAAAAGAACCAACAGCCACCTTCTTTCCGCACTGCCTTGGAGTTGTGAGGAAGGGGAAGGCATGGTGAAAAGGGAGGTATAGAAGCACCCCTATACAGCTTGCTGCTGCAAACCCAGAATATGGGCACTTGGAATGGGTTTATGGTGTCAGAACATATAAATTCTTTTTGCACTGCCTTCCCTAGAACAGAGTGGACCTGATCATAGAATCATAGAATGGTTAGGGTTGGAAGGGACCTTAAAGATCATCTAGTTCCAACCCTCCTGCCATGGACAGGGAAACCCTCCACTACACCAGGTTGCCCAAAGCCTCATCCAATCTGGCCTTGAACACTGCCAGGGATGGGGCATCCACAACTTCTCTGGGCAACCTGTTCCAGTGCCTCACCACTCTCAGAGTGAAAAATTTCTTTCTTATATTGTTGTGGGTTAGGCTGAACCCCCCCACGCAGCTGGTCACTCCCCCACCCCCAGGAATGAGGGAGAGAATTAAAGGACAAACGGGAAACCCGTGGGCAGAGATAAGAACAATTTAATACAGATGATTTAATACACAGTGTAGGTGCTCACCACCCCCTCGTATGCGAAGCCCGTCTCGTCACGAAGCTGCAAATCATGGACGAACGTGAGGCCCCGAAATAGAGAGGGGCAGAGAGAGAGAGAGAGTACTGTGAGAGTGGGAGTACTGGAAGAAAGAGGGGAAAAAAAAAGCAATAGAGCAAAAGCGCAAAAGCGGCGAAAGAGCCAAAGCGCAAAAGCCCTTCTGTCCGGCTGCCCCTCACTTTTATACTGGGCATGACGCTGCATGATATGGAATACTAATTGGCCAGTTTGCTCCTCAATCTTCACAAATCACAAGGGGAATCAAAGTTCCAACAAATCACAAGGGGAATCATGTCCCCCTTGTCCCTGCTATGCTCCCCCCTTATCCCGCCGTGTTTCTGCACTCTGGCACACTGAAAAGTCCTTGGAGTCTCAAACATCAGCTTGTTATCAATGTTCTTCTCAGAGCGAGCCTCTGAGTAAAACCAAAACACGGAGCTCTTCTAGCTGTTAAAAAGAAGAGCTAAATCTGTCCCACCTAGAACTAGGACATATATCTAACCTAAATCTGCCCTCTTTCAGTTTAAATCCATTGCCCCTTGTCCTATCACTACACACCCTTGTAAAAAGCCCCTCCCCAGCTTTCCTGTAGGCCCCCTTTAGGTACTGGAAAGCTGCAATAAGATCACCCTGGAGCCTTCTCTTCTCCAGGCTGAACAGCCCCAACTCCCGCAGCCTGTCTTCATAGCAGAGGTGCTCCAGCCCTCGGATCATCTTCGTGGCCCTCCTCTGGACTCGTTCCAGTAGCTCTATGTCCTTCTTGTGTTGGGGACTCCAGAGCTGAACACAGTATTCCAGGTGGGGTCTCACAAGAACAGAGTAGAGAGGCAGAATCACTTCCCTCAACCTGCTGGCCACATTTGTTTTGATACAGCCCAGGATACGGTTGGCTTTCTGGGCTGCCAGTGCACATTGCCAGCTCATGTTGAGCTTCTCATCCACCAGCACTCCCAAGTCCTTTTCCTCCGGGCTGCTCTCAATCCATTCTCCACCCAGCCTGTACTTGTGCTTGAGATTGCCCCGACCCACATGCAGGACCTTGCACTTGGCCTTGTTGAACTTCATGAGGTTCTCACAGGCCCATCTCTCCAGCCTGTCAAGGTCCCTCTGGATGGCATCCCTTCCCTCCAGCGTGTCCACAACACCACACAACTTGGTGTCATCTGCAAACTTGCTGAGGGTGCACACAATCCCACTGTCCATGTCTCCAACAAAGATGTTAAATAGCACTGGTCCCAGTACTGACCCCTGTGGAACACCACTCGTCACTGGCCTCCATGTGGACATTGAACCGTTGACCACAACTCTTTGAGTGCGACCATCCAGCCAATTCCTTATTCACCGAGTGGTCCATCCATCAAAATCATGTCTCTCCAGTTTAGAGACAAGAATGTCGTGTGGGACAGTATCAAATGCTTTGGATAAGTCCAGGTAGACAATGTCAGTTGCTCTTCCCCTACCCATCAATGCTGTAACCTCATCATAGAAGGCCACCAAATTAGTCAGGCAGGATTTGCCCTTAGTGAAGCCATGTTGGCTGTCACCAATCACCTCCTTGTTTTCTATGTGCCTTAGCATAGTCGCCAGGAGGATCTGCTCCATGATCTTGCCAGGCACAGAGGTGAGACTGACACCTGATGGCTCACCTTGCTTCCCAGGGCTGAGATAGACCTTCACCTTCCCTGCTGAAGAAGCAGCTCTGTTGTTAATGTGGTCCAGTACAAGTACTGCCAGAGACTACTGTGAACTCAGTCCTTCACTGCCTCGAAGGACCCCAGCCTGCAGACAACTTGCTCTTTTTAAGTGAGAGGAGAGCTAGAGCAGCCAAAGAGCATTTCTTTCACATAGTGTCCTCCATCCTTACAGGAACAAATGGATCTAATTATGGGAAAGAATAAAACTGAAAAGCAGGGACCAGTGGAAACCCAAGACCTGAAGCTGTTCAATCTGTGGCATGTTGAGATATCAGTGTGAGAACTGAATGGGCTGTGATTATTATATGCTGCAATACCTGCATATTGCTGTGTAGAGAGCTTCCATTAATAATGTCTGGTTACACCATTATTGTCTGCTGTACAAAATGAGGATTTTATTTCAAGAAAGTTTAATTATTGCCTAGAAGGAGCATCTGCCACAGCCCCAGTCATCTGCTCCAGTGGTTAATTACTTCACCGGCAAATGTCTACATGTTACTTCTCGTCTCGATGCTCCTTATCCCCCAGCTATTCAGTCTTGTTGCTCTTGTTTGTCAGGTAGTTATGGACAGTCACCTCTTCTCTCCTTTGTCTAGAAAGACTGAACGGCTCCAACCTAGTCATTTTACAGGCACATTTCCCTTTGCCTCTTCCCACATGTCTCCATGCCTGCCAGTTGCTCACAGGTGCTTTTTCTCTGAGCTTGGTCCAATTTATCGTTGTCTGTGTTAATGCCAGAGCAGCACTCAGCATTGCTGTACTGTTGGTGTCAGTGCTGCACACAGAAACTGGCCCTGCAGCCTCCTGTCAGTATCCTCACAGCTCCAGTTAGTATCTCTGGGTAGGCTTCCCTGTGCTTGTGTGCAGATAAAAATGGACCCTGCACCCAGGATCCTGCTGAGCAACTGAAATCACTGTGACTCAGCCATGCTCTCGAGTATTTACGGTATCTCAGTCCTCTCCATCACTTGTAGAGACTTAATCACAGAGAAGTAGTGCAGGGCCAAGAACTGATCCTCTGTGAAGACCATGAGAAATTCTCCTGTGTCAGGAGAAGAAAGACTTTCTGAGTCCACTAAAGTGGCCTCTGCTTCATCCATGGGATTCTTCATTTACTGTGGTCTGTCAGCATGCCATTTTCTGCACCCTGCAGAGTTTTAGTGCATCAGCATCACTGTCCACAAAACACGCAGCTCCATGGCAGCGTACTGCAAGCTAATCCACCAGGACCCCTGGACCATAATGTACAGTTGATTAACTCCTTTCCCTTCTTCGTCTAGGCTCATATAATTTTTCTTCCGAAGAAAAGAAGGCAGCTGAAACCTTGTAATTGCTCAGATAGTCTCACTTAATCTTTTGAAACATAGCTGAATGCTCACATTTCCACCCCGCACCCATACCTTCCAGAACTGGTTCAGAATGCCAGTAGTTCACGGAAACACCTGATAGTAGTTTTCAGGCAGTCCCCTACAAAGCCCAATGGAGAAGCATTGCTCCAGCTCCTAGGAAACTGCTGTTTAATTGTGTCCATGTACTTAGAAGCAGGTAACATTTCACCAGGATCATAAGCTAGTACTTTCCCAAGTACAGAGCAGAAATGCTACGATTGTTGTGCGCTGTAGCACTATTAATGGTGCCTCAGCAGAATCACAGAACAGGCAGGATTGGAAGGTACCTCTTGAGATCAGATGGACCACTCGGTGGATAAAGAACTGGCTGGATGGTCGCACTCAAAGAGTTGTGGTCAATGGCTCGATGTCTACATGGAGACCAGTGTCAAGCGATGTTCCTCAGGGGTCTGTTCTGGGTCCAGTGCTGTTCAACATCTTTGTCAGTGACATGGATGACGGCATTGAGTGCACCCTCAGTAAGTTTGCCGACAACACCAAGTTGTGTGGTGCCGTGGACTCACTTGAGGGAAGAGGTGCCATACAGAGGGACCTCGATAGGCTTGAGAAATGGGCCAGTACTAACTGCATGAGCTTCAACAAGTCAAAATGCAAGGTCCTTCACCTGGATCGGGCCAATCCTGGGTACAGATACAAACTGGGCACAGAGTGGGTTGAGAGTAGCCCTGAAGAGAAGGACTTGGAGGTGTTTATAGATAAGAAGCTCAACATGAGCCGGCAGTGTGCTCATGCGGCCCAGAAGGCCAACCGCATCCTGGGATGTATCAAGAGAAGCATGGTCAGTGGGTCAAGAGAGGTGATTCTCCCCCTTTACTCTGCTCTTGTGAGACCCCACCTCGAATACTGTGTCCAGTTCTGGTGTCCCCACCATAAGAGAGACATAGATTTGTTAGAGCGTGTTCAGAGGAGGGCCACAAAGATGATCCAGGGGCTGGAGCACCTCTGCTACGAGGACAGGTTGCAGGAGCTGGGATTGTTCAGCCTTGATAAGAGAAGACTTCGGGGGGACCTAATAGCTGCCTTCCAATACCTGAAGGGAACCTACAGGAAGGCTGGGGAGGGACTTTTTACTAGAGTGTACACTGATAGGACAAGGGGAAATGGGTTTAAGTTGAAGGAGAACAGATTTAGATCAGATCTTAGGAAGAAATTCTTCAGTGCGAGGGTGGTAAGACTTTGGAATAAATTTCCCAGAGAAGTTGTGGATGCCCCCTCCCTGGAGGTGTTCAAGGCCAGGTTGGACAGAGCCTTGAGTAGCCTGATCTAGTTGAGAGGCATCCCTGCCCATGACAGGGAGGTTGGATTAGATGATCTCTGAGGTCCCTTCCAACCTATGCCATTCTATGATTCTATGATTCTATGATCATTAAGGTTAAACTGCATTCGCCCCAGTATCAACCCCTGGCGAGCACTACTAGTGACTGGCCTCCAGCTGGACTTCATGCCAGTGATGATAATCCTCTGGGCCCAGCTATTCATTAGACTTTCAGTTCATCTCGTTGCCCACTTATCTAGCCAGTGCTTCGTCAGCTTGTCTGTGAGGGTGTTATGGGAGACAGCATCAACAGCCTTAGTGAAGTTAAGATAAAAACCATCCAGTGCTCTCCCCTCTTCCCCCCAGCCTGTTACCTCACTGTACAAAGCTATTAGGTTAGTTAAGCATTTCTCCTTTGCTGACTACTCCTGTTCACCTTGTTGTGCTTTGTGTGCCTGGAAATAGTGTCCAGAATTAGTTGTTCCATGACCTTTCCAGGAATCAAAGAGAGACTGAAAGATCTGGAGTTCCTTGGATTCCCCTTCTTGCCCTTCTTGAAGATGGGAGACATTCGCTCTCTTCTAGTCCTGAGGAGCCTCTTGGAATTGCAGAGGCTTTTTACAGATAGCCAAGAACGGCCTTGCAATGAAAATGGCCTGCTCCCTCAGCACCGATTGGTGCATCCCATCAGTCCCATGGACTTGTGTATGTCTGGTCTATTTAATGTTCCCTAACCTAGTTCTCCTTCACTGAGAGTAAATATTTCTTGCTCCAGACTTTACCTCTGGTCTCAGAGCTGAAGGCCAGTCTTATCACTAAAGACTGAGGTGAAAAAGGCATTGAATACCATGGCCTTTTCCATGTCGGTTGTCACCAAGTCTCCTGCTCCATCCAGCAGCAGGCCTACATTTTCCATAACCTTTATTTTGCTACTAATATACTTGTAGAAACCATTCTTGTTGCCTTTTACACCTCTCACCAGACTCAATTCCAGGTTGGCTTTGGCTTTCCTAACCCCATCCTTGCACACAAGTAGGAAATCAACTTCACTTGATTGACTGTTTACAGAATATTGTCTTAAAGTTAAAAAATTTTCTCCTTCAGCTTTGGACGTTCCCAGGCTGACTGCCAGGAGTGCTGCTTCACACGCTGCTCAGCTCCAGCCCCATAACAAGGCAACCCCCTGCTCCAGTACAGCCAAGTGTCCAAGATTCTCTTCTGCAATGTGATTTTTGTAGTTGGTAGCAGAGATCAACTTGTATGCCAGCTTGAGCTTTACTGAGGAAATGTATTGGCTTGAAAGGTGTCAGGAATGACCTAGTGTCACTTTAGAGAGCTGTCATAGGGCTTTCCTGCTTTTCATGCTCTTTTGGCAAAGAAGATCAATGGCATCCTGGTAACCATTGGGAAGAGCATTGCCAGCAGCTTGAGGGAGGTCCCCCGTCCACATTTGAAGAGCCGTGTCCAGTTCTAGACTCCTTAGTACAAGAAGGACATGGATATATTAGTGTAAGTCCAGTTAAGAGCCACTAAGGCAATTAAAGGAAGGGAGCATCTGTCATGCCAGCCCATGTTGAGAAAGCTGAGACTGTTCATCCTTGAGAAGGCTCAGAGGGATCTTATCTATATGTATACATGCCTAATGGCATAGCGGGAGTAAAGAAGGGAAAGCACCTCTATTTGTTACTGCTGCTGTATAACATCAAGACAGATGACATGGATTCGTCCATCTTCATTCTGTCCTTTCAGCTTAGCATTTCGTAAGGCAACCTTGTGAGGGTGAGGACACTGTAGTTCATACATGAAAACCAGTTTACAGGAGTTTGGGGTTGTAGGGAAATGGGTTTATAGAATGGACTTCATGGGGGTGAGGGAACAGATGTGGCAACAGTAAGACCACACAGTCAGCTTCTCCAAATGTTCCTCTCCTGGTTTCTCCCTATATATGCCTTGTTCTGTCCTTATTCATTGCTCTGCTGCACACTGCAGCTCTGGTGCTGACTGGCAGTAGGTGTGGACACATGATTCTGATTGTTTGCATGAAAAAAGTGTCTCTCTGTTTTATATCCTTCCAGCCAATCCCTTGGGTATTCTTATAGCAAACGTGCTGTCACCTGCACTAGTTCCTGAAGGAAAGCATATCCCATTGATGGTAAATGAAAACTGCTTTAATCAGTCCAGCTGATTTATTTATTTATTTGGAGGCAGCGGAGCTGGAAAGGTTGGTAACATGTCTTTACTTTGTGCTGTGTAGCTAGGTGTTTATGCCATCCCAGCAGTAACAGCCTGTGCTCTAGCAACTGTGGGGATTCATGAGAAGGTTCCTCCAACACCACCTTCGGCCAGTGCCACTAACTCCACCTCCCAGCCGTTCTTCATGGGGCTCAAAATGGTAAGTGCTGTAGCAGAGGGAGACCAGTGCTGGAATGAGGGATGCAGCCCTGCCAGAAAGGGATATGCTGGGCAATCTGCTGTCAAAGCAGACTCTGAACTCTGCTCCACTGAACCTGCCATGCAAAGCCCCGTGAAGGAGACTGGGATCCCTTCCTTCCTCAGAGAGTGGAAGCTGCTCACAGCAAAGCTGCAAGAGACACTATCTGACTGCTCGGCTGTGGGCTGGCTGACGTTCGGCTAGCTCAAACAGGCGCACCTGGGCTCCTCCAAGAGGACCACACAACGTGAGCCTTCTGAGCAGATGTGTTAACAGGTAGGACAGCGCATGGCAAAATGAAGGAAGAATTTGGGCGCTGAAGAGATCCTTCCTCCCTACATGGTTCCCATTTTAATTTGTCCTCTGGCTGAACTGACAGGGGAGAGCCAAACTCCTCTAATGATCACAGGGTGGCCCTGTCACCATTTCCAGCTGAGGGGACAGAGCCACTGAACTGCAAGTCTACTGTCACAGCCAGGCCTTTTTTCCCCCTCCAGTTGTTTAAATTAACTTCTTTCTCTAGCTCCTGAGAAACAAGCCGTACATCATCCTGGCAGTGTGCTTTGGAGGAGGAATTGGGATGTTCACCTGCTTCTCAGCTCTACTAGAACAGATCCTTTGTGAAAAGGGGTATTCAAATGTGAGTCTTCCTCCTTTCCTCCCCATTGTCTGCATCATCTATGATACAATCAAAATTATTTTCCCTGGTAAGGGACTTGGAGCAAAATGAAGACAGTTGAATATGCTGCACTGTCTCATATCTTATTTGCTCACATTATCTAGTATAGATTAGGCAGTACATTGATCCAGTGTACAGTCAATCTCTCGGTATAATGGATGATCTGCATTTTCATTACTGCCCATGGCCAGACTCCCATTTGCAGATGAAAAAAATTTACTCCTCTAATACTTTTTAGGAAAAAAAGAGTATTGTGTTTTTTCTAAGCCACTCCAGAGCTCTGATGTCTATGCAGCCTTCTGACACGTTCCTCACAGTAGGATGGGTCCCAGGCAGGCCCTAGAGTGAAGCTGAAGGCAGGCCGATGCAAATGTGTTTTCCTCTTTGCACAGTCTTACGTGAAGCCAGGGCAGCAAAGTCACAGGTACTGTGACAGCTGTTTCCCATTCTTCCTGTGACACTAGCCAGGTGCTGCTTTTACAGTTGAGCACCGTGTATGCACAGCTGGTTCGTCCTGCTCTCTCCCTGCCATAGCAAGGGACTGCACCAGTTCCCATTTTTCCCCTCGGAGAGGGAGCACATCAGTCCTGCTGCTTGTATCCCCTCTCCAGCTGTTATGTATGCACATCTGCATGTCTAGTCTCTGTCCGCTCCCTCTCACCTCCCAGGTCTGATAGCTGGCTCAGTGATCCATAGCCAGGTCACACTTGCACACTCCATTGGCTTTTAACTGGAAACCTTTTAAACTTTGCAGCCTTGCTTTCTGTGAATCATGATGCTTTTGTCTGTGTGTGACTGGCTTGCCCTGGCTCTTTAGCCCTCAGAAGCTCTTCTAGATACCTTTTCCTTCCAGTCTGCCCCTGAGGCTCCCAAAAATATTTACCCAAATTTGTTAAAGCTTCCTTGCTTTCACGATTGGTGTCTGCATTTGAATTCTTACAGAGCTGAAGGAGTGAGACAAGCAAAGATAGTCACTGCAGGCAACAGAGCTTGTTCCCTATCCTACTATTCACTACCTCTCTAATTAGACCTCCTTGCTACAGCTGGTGATGCTGTAACTCATCTAACACACTTTGGGGCTGCCAGCCTTGTGGAAGGCATTCCACCAGTGCAGGTCCCTGGTAAGAAAGGGGCCAGGACCACGATTATGAACAAGAGCAGATCCCAAGGCAGTTGAACCTGTTACTACAGTGTGGACAAAGCACCTGATTGCCCCTGGAGGAGCCAAGAACAGTCTCATGCCCAGGCTGGAGCATTTAATGCCAGGGAACTGCTGCTGCTCTGCACCCAGCCTCCATTGCCAGGTGTGCAGAGACTTGTCATCCGTTGAGACCTTGGGACTGCTATGACCCTGCCGTCCCCACACACTTGTAGCAGTGCCTGGGCTCTGTGATTTACTGTGCAGAGCCCTCTGGAGGCCTCAGCTATTGCAATAGGCAGGGAAGCTTTTACTGCCTCTGTAAGTGACGCACGAGCAGCAGGCAGATGGGTCAGTGACACTCAAACCTCTTTCCTAACTGCTCTAGTTGCTCAGTTACTTGTTCTTCTGCCTCCAGGAATTTGCTGGCCTGAATGGTGCGCTGTTCACAGTGTGTGGTTTGCTGGGTGCTTTCCTGCTGGGCCTGTATGTCGACCGGACAAGGAAGTTCATAGAATCCACCAAGATTTGTTTCTGTCTGAGTGCAGTTGCCAGCACCATGTTTGCAGTGGTGAGTTCTCCCTTGCATTGCACCATACCTGTGGGCTTAGTTCTGTTGCCATCCAATAATCATCAACTAAAACCAAGGTCATTTGATGTCATAGAATTTATGCTTTGGGATTATCTCTTTGGGCTATGAATGTTTTAAAGAAAAACCCTTTACTGAGGATTTCAGAGTCACTGTAGAGCCTGAGACAGCCTGCTTCAGGATATGAATAAATTGGCATAATTTCATTTCCTTACTTTGGATCACAATGTTTGTTCACTGGCCCTGAGACAATTCTTTCCAAAAAGAAATGGAATTGCTAAATATCTTACAAAAATAAACAAGAATGCTATAGTTTTTCCAGCACCTGCCTTTAACAGTGGCAGCTGCCAGGAGTGTAAGATTAGCAGAAGGGACCTAGTTATGTGCCTAGTTCTGCAGTAGTTCCTCGAGGAGGACAAGATGAGGAACATGAAGGAAAAGAGGATGCTTGAATCCAGCCAGGAGAGGGGTGCAGAACCTGGAGAGTTTACACCCATGGGGCTGGAGTGCAAATACGGCACTCAAGCATAGTCATCACCAATGGGAGTCATCACCCAGCAGGAACCTGGGCATGAAGCACAGGACTCCTAGCACTGCAGGGGACCCAGACTGGTGCATGTCTCTGCTTTCTCAACAGGCTTATGCTGTGCATTTCTCCTGTGTGTTGAAAAACCCAGTTTCAATACGGCATGATCTCACCTCTCCCTGGGCCAAGATCCCAGTGATGTTAGATTCACATTAAAGAGAGAGAAATGCAATGTCTTTCTCAGTGTAGGACAAGGTGCCTAAAGCAGATCTTGCATTTTGCCCCTTAGTACTCTGGCATTTGTTGGGGCGATGCTCTGAATACAAGTCACCATGCCAGGGCTCGGGCAAAGCACAGAGTAGGCAAGAGGCTGTGTCAGGAGCAACAAGCAAACCTTTCCCTCCTCCCCTTCCATCCATCCCATACAGATGAACTACTAGTTCAAAGTAGTAAAACAAAAAACACCCATTCAAATCGGTTTGATACCTTGACACTTCGAACTCAGATTCCAGACACACACAGAGTTTTCCTTGCCTTTATCAGTTTAGCTCGGCCAGGCCTGCTGGAGCCGTGCCAGGACAGACACGTGGCGTGTTCCTCTGTGGGAATTTATTACATGGTTAAGGAAGGAGGTACCAGCACTGTGGCTGCAGGATTTATGCCCTTGATTTTACGGACATTGGCTGGACAAGGCCATGCTCTTTCCTCCAGAGTTAAGGACTAAGGCTGTTCTAGGCACTAAACTAATCTCTAGGGTTTGTGAATCTTTCCGGTGTTTTTTTTTGTTTGTTTTGTGGGGTTCTTTTTGTGGTAAACTCGCAATATTACAAACATGAGTCTGACATGATAAGAAGTAGTTTTCCTTATGAATGAGCTTCAGCAACCCAGTGAATTCTCATACGTAACCCAATGCAAACACCACTTCTGAAATGCAAGCTTGCATTGGGAGGAAGGTGAGTGTTTCA